TGGGAAAGCCAGCAAGATGTATCCCAAACTTCGACACATTCCGGTCGCAGGATGACCTCGCCTCCTGCGTTTTTGTCCGGCTCTGTTCAGGAAAACCATTCTCCAGACCCAGGTAACAGCTACCCCCAAGTTAAGTCAGCTACAGCAAAAGTTCAGAGTTAAGTGCTCTAGCTGGTATTTCAGGAGAGAGCAAAGCATGAGAAGAGGGGACGAGCTGAGGATGGAGGTCCTTTAGGAAGCTGTATGATTTTTTTTAACAGTTTAATGGACAGAACTTCATCTGGGGTTGTATCAAAAGGGAAGCTGCTGATTGGAGCACGGTCTAATGGTTACATGTGCACAAGCTGGGAGCGATACTGAATGTATCTGAACTGCTCCAACTTTAACGCTGGGGTGAAGCCCTGCTGCAGTCAGAGTTGTTTTGCGATATTTTGCATCCTCCTTGTGCACCTGTCATTGTCCGAACATAACAGCTGCTTCCCAGTTTGGAGCAAGTGGCCCCTTCCCTTGTGAAACGGCTCCAAATATACATTCATCCATATCCTGTGGGGTTGCCTTGCTGTGCTTTGAACTGTACAAGCACACATCTGGCAGCATGGAGGATATGGGCTCGCAAGCTAGTTCATGTGTGATTAAAAGACATTAGGATTCCCACTGTCCTGCACTCTTCTTTGGGGTGAATCTGATGTGGCTTAGCTTTCATCCATGGCAAGACCCTCCACTCAGCTGGGTAGTGCAGCACAGCTGATATGTAACAAATCCCCTCCACCTTTTTACCCTCTGATAACTAGTTTGTGTACCCATGATCTAAGAACTTGGCCTTTGCTGACCCGAGTCTGTGCTTTACTCATCACCTGTCTTTTTTTTAAAATTGGAAACTGCAGTTCTGCAAGCATTGAGCAGTAAATGCTGGGTGTTTAACAGTGCCTTCTAGTTGAGAAGTCACAGTTCTTGTTCCAGAAACTTAAATTCTAAAACCAGGACAACATGGTGCAGACATACTAATACAGTATGTGTTATGCAAGCAAAGCAGCAGAGGCTGTGAGGCTAGCGATATATTAGGGGGGAAAAAAACAGATTGGGATGCATATTTTGCAGCTGACCTATGGAGCTTGCTATATATTGCAGAGCATAGTGTTTAGATGAAATCAAATATAAAAGAGCTATAACTGGTGTTTCTCGGGGGAGGTGGGGTGGAACGGGATGGTAGGCATAGCAAGCACTGCAGTCCAGACCAAACCTCATCTAGTGGTCTCTAGTGTTTGATTTAATAATTGAGTTTGCCACATTAGTCTTGCGCTTACCTGGCGATAGCTTTTCTGTGTCATCTGCCACAAAAATTTCTAAAATATATAGCGACTCCAAAGCAGGTTGCCAATATTAAGCTCTTCACCCCATTTTAGAAAGGAAACATCTCTTTCTCCCCCTGCCCTGTTGCCTCAAGTCCTTGCCCCTCAGAGAAAGAGATGAGACTAGAAACAGTCTACAAATCCCCTGTGAAACAGTCTACAAATCCCCTGTTCCTCCAGCCTAGTGATCCTCAACCCGAGTGCCCCAGCATGCTGGCATGCCACAAGATCTTTTCAAGGGTGCCCCAGGGTACCATGCGATCCTAGCACTGTTAGGTATGTAAACACCTAATATGATTCTCAAGATAAACCCCAAGATTTCAAATGGGAATCCATAGTGTTAAAACCATTCTGCCGTGCTGTGATCTTCCTGAGTTATTTGCAACAGAAGATTTGCTTAATTATTTTCTATAGTCACAAAAAAAGAGAGGGAAACTGAGAGCTGGCTTTTTTCAAGGGATGCCTGGAGTCTAACAAGGGGGCACCTTGAGTCTAAAAAAGATGAAACACTTTTCTAACCACTGATTGACTTCCTCTTTTGTGTTAGGTCTGTTGACCGTCTCTTATGCAAGAATCTTATAGCTATTTTTTTTTAAACTTTGCTGACAGGACTCAGTAGTTTGGCTGCCTCCTACCTGAATCCAGTAAAATCCTTCGTGCCTCAGATGCCAAAGCTGCTTAAGTCTCTCTTTCCTGTGAGAGAGGACAAAAAGGCCAGGCAACCCTCTCCTCTTGCACAGCAGGTAAAAAAAAAAAAAATATATACAGAGATATTGGTGAGCATTGTTATAATGACTTGCTGGCAGAAAGAAAAAGCTGTTTTGTATGTTGTTGCAGGGGAAATCAGGCTTTTAGTCGACTGTAGTAAAAGCTTGTGATCCATTTCCCCTCCACTCTATCTGAGATAGTGGAGCTGTTTAAACTTATTGATACTCTCAGCCCACTTGGCTTTTGAAAAGTGCCAAGAGCACTACTAATGTGATTTATGGTAATACCACTTGCAGCAACAATAGTAAAATTTATGAAGTGCACTTAGTGTTGTTTGCGAATTGCCAAATGGAAAATGTAATTCTATTTTTAATTCTTGATTTCATTTCCCTTCTCCCCTCCCCACTCCGCATCACCTCTTTCTGACTTGTGCTTTGTACTTGGGGCAGCAGTTTTGACTTCTACCCCAGTCTACTTAGCAAGTGTGTAGAGGATGCCATTTGCCTGCACCACTGCCTCTGTCTCCACACACCTCATATTTTGCCCCTGTGCTTCAAAGGCAAGCTGAGGCATAGTCAGATAGTCTACAAGATAGTACAAGACCAAGAACCCTGTTAGGAATGAGAGCCTGAACTTTAAAGGTGTGATATTATACAAAAAGCTATAGTTCATTAATATAAAATCTCTGTGTTGTCTGCTTGGGAAACTCCAGGTTTATGGCTAAGGGAGTGTAGCTGCATTTTTACAGTGCTCTATAGGACATCGAATTAACTAGGCTCAGTTCTTGCCTTCAGATTTGGAGCCTTAGGGGGAACATTATTTTGTTACACAGCCTTGCCCCAAAATGGAGATCCAGTTCACTAGTACCCAGAGTAGTGAGAATGAGTATGGGGCAGAATGTGTATTCCACCTCCCTTGTAGAAATGTCTGAATGGTAATAATGTGGGTGTGAGAGAGATTTGGGCTTTCTTGTTCAGGTCTTGCTATAAGCAGACTCAAACTTCAGGATCATAGAAAAGTAGGGATGCGAGGGACCTCATAAAGTTGTCGCATCTGGCCCCTACTCAAGGCAGAATTGTCTCTGATTAAAACCATGCCAGCCAGGTATCTAGGATCACAGGAATGTGGAGTTACTCAATTTTTCGCTGCTAGTTCAAGTTCTTAGTACAAATCAAAACGTAATTGAAGAGCATAAATGTACTCTAAGTACACTAAAACTTTAGAAGTCTCCATTTAAAATGTATACGTCAGATTAAAAAGTAAATAATTAATAAAAATAAGAATATATTTAAAATCTCTTATTTAACAATGGCCCTTTAAAGACCAAAATAGGGTAAAATAAAACAAATCATGAAAACGGTGTCAATCACTACCTACTGCACCAGCAGTACTTTGCATTTTTTTACACTGCCATTCATCCATGTGTGTCTGAGTGCTTTATAACAGCCTTGGCAAGTATGTAACTACCTCAGTTAACCCACCCAAAACTGAGGATAAATAAAACTCAGAATGGTTAGATTTTTAAACATATTTAGGCCCTGAAAGGTGCAGATACACCCCTTGTGAGCTGTCTGAAATCACACTGAGAATTGGTGGAGTCTGGATTACTTTAACAACTTGACTTCACTCCTTCCTATGACTCAAAACTGGTCTTTTCAATGATTCCTCTGGAAGCAGGTTTTTGAACTCTGAAGTTCCCGGTTGAAAGAAATCTTGTGTGTTAAATGTGAGTAAATGAGTGCTCAGGTAACCTAATAATGGGCATGTCCCTGGGAATGCAAGGGGAGAGAAGACTCTCTCTGACAAAAATAAATAGATACATGAAATGCTATAAATAGAAGTGTGTATGTAATGTTGGGTTACACTGGAGAGCAACCCAAGGGTTTTCAAGACCATTGGATCAATATAATGAAATGAAATCATTAAAATTAATACAAGCTTCAGGGCTTTTAGTATCCTAATGTGACAAGTCAGCTGCACTACATGTTCAGGTCACCAGTTGTCCATTGGAAACAAAGACATTTTTCATGGTGCTGTCAGTAAATGAACTGGGTTTCCTGCTCCCCACTGGGAACTGCAGGGCATAGAAGTGAAAGCAGCCCCTGAAACAGTTAAGAGGACAAGCCTGGCTTACACCAAGAGGTGAATGTACACTTTTGGAATAATATTTTCTTTTTTTAAAACACATAAATAGCACCATACCTCATGCTATCTTAGTTCTCCTTTCTATGCAGGCTGGTGCAGACATGGTCCCTTGGGTTACATTTGGGCTTGTGGCCCATTAAACAAAGCCGTCGTGATAAATGGCGATGCATTAAGTAGGTGGAGGGGGGAGCTGCAGGGATTGGTGTGTTCAGCTGTAACACCTTCTAAAAAACTGGCCTTGGTAGAGCTAGCTCTTGCAGATGCCAAATTGGGAAGCGTTGCAAAATGCCCTGAAGTCTAAGCCACCCTATACAAAAGAGATGGCCAGGAAAGAGAACGATATTGGACCTAGACGAATCTAAATGGATGTTCCTTGAGGTTAGAGTAGAAGAAGGGTGTTCAAGGGAGATGACTGAAATGCTGTTACCACCAGGGCGGGAGGGGATGGCAGACTGCATATACAGCTGCCAAAATAGCTGCCGGCGCGACACTCCACCGGCACTTGTAAAAGTCGTGAAGAACGGAGTTGATGATGGGCTGCTCTGCAGTACCAAGCACACCTTGAATATCTCACGCCGTTACTGGGGTGTCGCTGGGTGGTATTTTAGACATCAAATTTAGGCATGCCCTCAAGAAGCGCTGAAATTCAGCAAAAGGAAACCTCAGATTTCTTGCTGACTTGTTTCATTGTTCTACCGAAAAGTCTTAAACCTTCTCAGGCGGTGCAGCCCTCATCTCGTATTGTTTATTCCCTGGTGTTTTGTCTAGAGTCGTTTTAATTGTAGAGAGACCGTTGTTTATCAGCAGAGACGGATAGGATGACCAGGCTTGCTTTTCCTGTCTCGAAATGTTATGGCTGATGGACAGATTTAGTTGGCTCTGTGACTTGGTAAAAAGTACTATCTATAAAGCTATATTGTGCCGAACCTCATTTTAAGCCAGTCTAGAGGGATTGAGGGTTCTCAATCCCTCTAGACTCCAGGCACCTCTTGGTAAATGCCACTTCTTAGTTTCCACTTGCTTTTTTGGCTGTGGAAAAATAGAGAGATTTTTCTCTTGCGAAGATCACAATAGGTCAGGATGTTTTTAACTCTATACATTTCTATTTGAAGTCCTGGGCTTTTCTTGGGAACGGCTTGCCACTTTACGGCGCTAACATCGCACATCACCCCCCGGCACCCTTGAAAGGATCTCAGAGCATCCTCGTGGAGGATCAGTGCTTTTAAACTATCTTGTAGCTAAAATTATCTGCGTTTCAGTGCTCTTGAATACCACGCTTGTTTGTTGATGGAACAGCGCTTAATTTTAATTTCCAAACTTGCAGAAAAGGTTAAGCTCATCATGACCGAGCATCTTGCAGAGAGAGCGAGCTCCTAGATCTGCACATATTTTCTTTGTAGGGAGCTGCAGCTTTAAAAATCCCTAATCCTATCAAAGTAAGAGGGAAGCAGACGCTTCTGAGCGCTTGTCCTGAAAAATGATCAAAAATTATCTCTTTGCCACAGATTCTTATTTCACCATATGCTTTTGTTTAAGTAGGCGACTGCCTTAAAGTAAGATACCATCCCATATTCACTACTTTAGCAAGATGGTGTTTCCCAGTTCTGGTTTCTGTTTGCAATCAATGGCTGTCTGAGTCCCAGAAATGCAAAGACATTACAGTGAAGGTGGTGGCAGCTGACAAAATTGCTGTCTTTGACCTTCTGATACAAGTTTAGTAGCTAATCTGGAGAATAATGAACCGCAATTAATGAAATCTGCTCTCGTATTCAAGTGTGTTTCTCAGACAGCACATAAAATAATTGAAAGAACTTCCTGCTCTCTAATTAGTTAGATTGAATTAATTTGGCATAATAGGATTCTTTATGTAACTGGCAGAATGGCTTCCGATGAAGCTGTTTATGTACCTGAAAGATTGGCTTCTGATGAAGCTGTTTATATACTTTTAAGTTAGAAAATACATGTTCTAGTTGGCTAACCTGGTGCCCTGTGCTTAGTAACTGCCAGGACTTTTTTCATACATGAAAACTACCTATGTTTATAAGCACTGATTTTTTTTAATTATTTAACTAGCTTTGTGCTTCCCATTCTCTTTTCTTAAAACCAGTTGGTGTTTGCAGCATTCAGCATTTGTACCTTTTCCTAGTCTCGCTCTTGATGGGGAAGAGGCTGTTATTTTACACAGAGAAAATGCGTGGAGGTAGATGAAGGAAGTTGCATGTTCTTAATTGTATAGCTGCTTATTAAGTTATGCATATGCTCTTGAAGCTGGTCTTTACCAGCACTTTGCTTTCATAATCTGAGCAAGACAGAGCTGGTCGCGTTTACCTTTATGATCCTTCCCCAGACAGGTCACATGGTGACGTTTGGGGGCATCATGGAGCAGTTGGTGTTACGCAGGCACGTGTGGAAGCGTGCAGACCACGTCATACATAGGCAAAAGCCAACTTCTCAGATGAATGTGCATGTGATCAGTGGCTGTAAAAATACACAACCCCCACCGATGTGGTATTTGAGTGTGTAGGTGAATTATTGAAGGGGCTCTTTTAGTACGTTACCAAAACAAGAGGGCGATTTTTCACGTCGTAGCCGTCTGTAGACGATTCTCTTGTCTGCGTCTGCAGTAACGTTGTAATTCATTGCTCTCGGGTTGATTTCCAGGAATGCAGAGGGCTGACACGGGAGGAGAGGGCAGCTGACAAAATTAGTTGTCTTCGACCTTCTGATGCAGATTTAGATGCCAGTCAGATAAATAATGAACTGCAGTTAATGAAACCTACCCAGGTAAACCAGAAGATCTCTCTGGTAGTATAATACACGCGCGCATGTGCGCGCACACTGTGTGTGTGTGTGTGTGTGTGTGTGTGTGTGTAGCTCCATAGATGTGTAT